CACATTATTTCAATCTGTGTCAAACTGGGATCTGATGCGGAATGAACTGGTTCGAACAGTCCGCCTCTCTTTAATCACCTAGAAACATGAAATACGGAACAGCCCAACAGAGCGGCCTCCTCAAAGAAGCTGTGCACGCGCCTGTTGCACTTGGCAGCCATTATCTGACTCCAGCTTTTTAATGCTTAATAGATGAGAGCTTTTAAAAATCTCCCAGAGCCTCTCTCTTCTGCGCACACATCCACAGCCACTCTCTGCCATATATCTCAGTGAAGACCTTCTCCTGCAGCACGCGCGCCTGGGCTCTGACCTCCTCAGCTCCTCGCGCTCTCCAGAATAATAAATTTCTCTGGCACCGCGTGGATGCAACGAGCCATAGGGGGAGGAAATGCGGGCGATTTGTCTGATAATTAGCAAACCACTACGAGACACTGTGGGCCAAAGATCAGCGTGTGTGGGAGCGAGAGGCGATCGGAATTCATTCTGCCTTCCTAGAACTCAACACAGGAGTCACCTGAGCAGCTACATCCCTTTACCCGTGCATAAAGTCTGACGTGCAAGACAGTGGCCGCGTGCATCGAGTGAGCTCCTGCAGCATTTAGCTTCATGTTTGCAGCTGTTGTTAAAAGCTTCATCAGGAGCAGATTATCCCAACAGGCAGAGAGCATGCTCCCCCTTCACCTGCCGGCTGACTCCCTGCCTCCTTCCTTCAAGTCACAGTGATGTGACAGAACTAGGCAGGGGGTCTGCAGAGTCTTCTTGTTTACAATGCAGCTCATCGCCTACATGTTTCTGTTGTTCTTTGGTTTTCTGTATGAAAGTAACATCTATAATTCTCATCAGCAAATTATTTATTCTGTATCATATTATATCCTAACAAAAGATGCTCACTTTGTGACTAAAAAACCTTGTAGCACAAAGTGGATCTCACAGAAAGCTAAAAAAAAAATGTTTTATCTTCCTAAATTAGGTTATGTCTACAAATGTCCTGATAGGTTGGTCCATATAATCCAAATAATCCTGGACTCCATATATGGTCAGAAGCCATGGTTTAACATCTGTGTAGCTTTGTTTTACCATCTCACCATATGATTGATGCAAAGACAAATGTATGGTGCAAATATCATTTAAACTTAAATGTAAATCACTAACCTGAGTACATTTAAGATCTGTAAATTTTCCTCTTCAACAAAGAGAGAAGTTTCATCTGTGAGAAAAATTTCAGATGCTATAAAAAAATCAGATTTACAAATTTCCAACAAAAGAAGTACAGACTGCACATTTATCTGTAAAAATCCAAAGTTCTTTGGTAAAATAACAAACTGGCGAGTAAAAAAATTACAACTTTATGAATAACTGACCAAAAATGTACAGGTACAAATAAAAAATGTAACACCCCCTGAAGGAGCTGTTACACTCCTTACCAGTTGGTGGCAGTAATTCACCACCTACCATTAAACCAGAAAACGAGAAGCAAGAAAAAAAAAAAGCATAACACTGAAAACTCAGCAATATGTATTAAGTGTCATATTTATGAGAATAAAAAAACATAAGTTTATGAGATTGTAAAGATCCAAATTTAGTAGGAAAAGGTAGAAAAATTATGAGAATAACGCTTAAAGTTACGGAAAAAAAACATGCAAATGTACAAATTATAAACATTCATATTTATCTTAACATTAATTTTTACTGTAAAAACTTCCATCAGGAGGCCATTGTACCATCTTAAGGGCTGGTTATCCTCCCTCAGCAGTGTGTCAGTTAGCTTGTCGCAGATATGATGCAGATATTTTTGATTTATGCCCAATATTGAAGCATGATCTGCGCTGTGTTATTCAACGCCACAACGCAACAGAGGCAATCAGGAACTAGCTAGGATTGTGGGTGTCTGTGTGTCGGTTTGAGCTTGTTAGCCGCCTACAACCCCTCATCCACGCCGAATGACACACGTTTCATCCTTGAGTGTTTTCGCCATAGACTGGCCGTGGCGCTGTGTGTTTTGGCTTCGGGTGCAAACCAATAGACCATCGCACAGAGCTACAAACTAGCGTCCTGCACGGTGTCTGGGATAGTGTCCGAGAGGTGCCCGGCGCTATGGACGGCACTACAGCCAGAGTTTCTGCCATTAGGTATCAAACAGGAACTATGAATAATGTAGAGCAGGTGTAGAATTGACCAATCAGAGGCCTGCTTTCTCTCCTCCCTGCGACACTATCAGGGGCACTGTCAGCGCTCACCTACAGTTTTGCAGAGGTGCATCAGAGTGTCTGCGGAAGGGGGTGGCGGGGGGCATATCTGCGTTAACTGCGACACACATGCAGACGACGGTTTTTGAGCATAACCCAGAATTCATTCCATTGCTAATGCTTTTGCATGTAGTATTTTAATGTGTATTAAAATCTCTCACTGTTCTGTAAATGTACGTTTAAAACTGGCAAATTTCATACTTTTTCCTCTAAATTTTCGTGTTTTTTCTTGTTAATTTGTTACTTTTTGTCTCGTATTTGTATGTTTTCATTTAATAAATGTGTGAGTTTTTACTCGTAAATATGTAGCTTTAAACAAGAAAATTGTTCTTTTCATCGTTAAATTGCTCCACTATGCCATGGTAGATATGAAATGTGATGTATGTTGAGTTTTTTTTTGTGTGTGTTCTTCCTCTTCCTGCTCTTAAATGGAAATTAGCAAACTACCTTCAGGTTCATTACTGCCACCAACTGGTAAGCAGAGTAACAGCTGCATGTGGGTTGTAGATTTTACTTATTCTTTGAAACTTCTTAACATCTTTTCTCACAGACTAAGCATCTGGCATCACATAGCATGTTATAGGCTTAGACTGCTGGAGGACATAGGGACCCCTTTTTCATCATTCTGCTTCATTCTATCTCTATTCTCCCACTCTGCAGAATCTGTTAGTTCAATCTCTAACGTTCTGCTCTCTCTGCTTTTTCTCATAGTAGCTTCATCTGGTCTGTTCCTGTTTGGCTGTGACTCCATCCTGGAGAGAAATATCAGCTGTGCTGCTGCCATCAACACCTTTGTTTCTAGATGTTGGAGCTTGGCCTGTTTTCCAGTGTAGTCCTGTTTCTCTGACTGTGACTAACTGGATGTGCTCTCTTCATCCTCTGACATGGGAGCTGGCTCGGAGCTCGTCTGCCTGGCTGTGTGTTTCCTGGACGGGGCCGCCTGTGGAGCTGGTTGACAGTTGCCTTTTGTATCTATGCTTCTTTTTCTATGTCTGCTTCTGTCTCCTTGAACCCCAGTGGGCCTCAGCAGATGGCCGCTCACACTGAGCCTGGTTCTGCTGGAGGTTTCTTCCTGTTCAAAGGGAGTTTTTCCTCTCCACTGTCGCTACAAGCATGCTTAGTGTGAGGGATTGCTGAAGAGTCAATGAGTCGATGAATCAATCTGACTGGATGATCTGGTTGAACTGGAAAGTGCCTTGAGATGAAGTGTGTTGTGACTTGAGGCTATAAAAGTTAACTGAATTGAATTATTGAATTATATTTATATCACTGATAGTTATCTTAGCCGACACGATTCCTCCACATACATTCCAACAGGACATTTCTATTTACTATAGATCTATCATGTGCTGTTTTTATTGCTCTTTATAAACAAAAGTTAGTTTCTGTCCAGCTTCTATCCCACAGCCTGGTAAAAACAAATCCTGTCCAAGAACCCCCAAGAAATTAAGACTTTTAGACATCTTTTAAAGTCTGTTATTTGTGATGTTTCTTGTTGTGTTCAAATGAAGGTAACTTGCAGTCTCACACCAGGGCTCTGCCCATGGGGTTCTATCAGTCTGTGTGGGAGAAAATATGCCACAGTCAGCCTGGCTTCCAGAGCTCTGAACTTTGCCTGTTATGACAAAGTGGCCCTTGGGCTCCAAAGGTCTGGGAATGTCCGAGGGAGCGGAGGGTCTAGCCGTCTGGTGAGGTCAAGGGGGGCCAGAGAGGCGGGGGCAGGTAGGTGGATGGCGCGGGGGAGGTAAGGTAGGAATCGGGCAGGGGGTGACTGCGGGTCAGCCTCTGGCTTCAGAGCCAGTGGACCTCATCGGTCAGAAAAACTTGTCCCCTGGTTGAACCCTTTCAGTTTAGCTTCCTGCTGTCGCTGCAAGATCTCAGTTTCTTTTTTTGTTATTGTTACTTTTCGTTTGTTTGTTTACCCCCCCCCCCTAAAAAAAAAAACTTGACCACTAAATTGTTTGGCTGATATTTCTGCATCCTTTCCATGAAAAGCGTCACGTGACGGCCTACAAGCTCCAGCTCAGATCCGCTGTGCTTTGATTCCTGTAAGATTGATCTGTGAAGAGGTCAGGCAGCAGTGAGTGCGCTTCCTGAGGCTGCTGCTGCTGCACGGATCAGCAGATAAACGGAAGACCTGGAAGCGCCCGGCAGCCAATTCATTTACAAAGACCTGCAAAATTATTTGTTTCCCAGCTAAATTGGATCTGAAGCGCAGCAGTGCGAGTTTCCATTAACCAGGGCTCACTGCGTTGTTTTAATTTTTCTTTTCCAAGACCCCGCCTCCCCTGCAACCCCCTTACCGCCTGAACTATTTTTCATGTTCTGGCATCTGTGACCCTGTTTGCACCCAGAAAAAAAAATAAATAAACTAAAGAACAATGCCTAAAACCTAAAACTATGAGGAAAGGGCTCCAAATGAGCTTTAGTTTATTTTTTGGAGAGTTTATCTCAACAGCATCTTATACGCATAAATCCAAGATGAATGTGAGAAAAAAAGAACCTTTTTGGACACAAAAAACAGATAAATGCGCAGCAGCAAATGGGAAAGATTTAAGCTAAAGCAGATTTTAAAGCACATTTTAAAGATATAACCCTCAAGCAGCACAAAAACACCCCCAGATACACAAACTCACACACTTCATTCAACATACCACACACAGGAATTAATGCACTTTGTTGCTTTAGAGTAATAAAACTGCAGCATCCATCCAAGAGAAACCAAAACCCTGACTAAAGCCTGAGGTCTCCTACCTTTGTCGCAGCTTCCAGGAGCCTGGAGGCCATCTTTTCTTCTCCTCCTTGTCTTGCACTGTGACGGCTTCTGACTGCTGGCCTGGAGTTTCTCTCCTGAGCTCTTGTTCTCATCATTAACAAACACAAAAACTTTTCTTCTTTTTATGGGCTGATTTGTGGGATTTAAAAATAGCTGCTTGATGTCCACTGAGGGGAGGTTTGTGTGTGTGTGGATATCTATGTGTGTTAGTCTGTATTTTAAGAGGAGGAAGTTTGAAAGGCGGGGGTAGTGGTGTTGGTGGTAGGGGGGGGGGGTCTTCCAAGTGTCTTCTGAGACGTCTTCTTTTTCTTTTTCCTGGGTCTATGTGCACTTTGCCCTCCCTCTCTCCTGGCATAAGGGGTCTTGTGTGGAGCTGCTGAATGACAATAGAAGAAGAAGACGCGTTTAAACGCGAGCCAATGATTAATGATTTGTTCTTGAATAATTTTCACATTTTTCTCGCAGTGCTGTCCTTTCTGTCCTGGCAAGTACATAATGGCAGTGGACACCTCTGCCGTGGGTGGGTGTGGAAATCTGCTCCATTCACACCCCACCCCATATATATATATATATATATATATATATATATATATATATATATATATATATATATATATATATATATATATATATATATATATATATATATATATATATATATATATATATATATATATATATATATATATATATATATATATATCATATGATATATATATCATATATCATATCAGGCAACAAATAGAGGATCTTGGAATCTTCTTTGTGCCTGAACGCACCAATTTGGGGGGCAGAGTCTTTTTGTTTAAAGTTCACCGAGAGGAATGCTATTTCTCGTTCCCCTTCATATTGTTCTCCATTTTCGATACATGCTCAAAGAAAAGAAAATGAAAATTAATACGAGAGCCGCACCTCCCAAAAGAAGCCATTCGTCTTGTTGATTATCTATTTGGTTGTCAAGGCTTGAGCTATTGCACCGGCCCGTTCCTTTTCCGTAATGTCTGAAAAAAAAAAAAAAATTAGAAAAAGAAAAACGTGTGTACATAATACTGCTCCAACATATATAGATGGGTGAGGTTAAATCTACAAAATTAAACCCGTTTAAGCGCTCAAATATATTTTTTTCTGCGCTTTTAGGCTGAGGGAATAGAAGATCTATGTTGTTTGGGGGGGAGGAGGGACATACATGTCCAAGCTGCGTTAGAGCCGCGCGTTGGAGCTTCTGGTAAATTAGGTGGAGAACCGGAGAAAAACGGAAAGAGGGCTTGTGATTTAAAATGAGATTACAGGATGTAATGTAGCAGGATCACTCCTGGCCGGAACAGATAAATCATCGCAGCCACATCATCTCTGCAGACAGCTTTGCAGGCAAAAACCAACACTTGGATTATATAAAATTATTTAGAATGGGACAAATAATTATCCCAGCGCTTAAACCCTATAAGAGGGGATGAGAAAAGAAAAAAAAATAAAGTTTTTTTTTCTGAAAAAAGGGGTAAAATCTAAATCTAACAATATAAATTCCATCCCGCAACAAACAGGAAGCAACAACGACCCTACAGGTGATGGTCCCGATTTATAAGAAAAAAAGAAAAAATTGAATAAACTGGAAAAATTACACGTTCAGTCGTTTATTTATATTTCTGGTCTATTTACACAGAACATAAAGCTTGACACTGGATGAACAGAGAGGAGCATCGGTTGGTAACACATGTTCAAGGGAGACAGCATCTGTTTCCAAACATTTGTAGAATCAGATCATAGCGGGGGAATAAAAAAAAAAATCAGATGTGGAAAAATAAAAGAATACGATGGTAAAATTAGGGGAAATAAACAAATTACCCTGTATTGAATAATATGACCCATATTAGCTTAAAAAAATCCTTAGATGACATATTCTGTTTAAATCCAACATAAAATGAAAGAATGGAGCTGAGTTTTACCTCTTCGTGTCATTAAAAGCCTGAAAACCGGTCACTTCATAAACAAGCAGAAATAACAAACATATATATATATATAATATACCATAAAACATAGTATATATATTTATAGATATATATATTATTTACAATTGAGGTAATAAGTAATACATTATTTAGTGCTGTGTTTTGTACAGTTTGTACGATGATTTGGTGTGCACTGCAAAAGCGAGCTGGAAATAGGTAAACATGGCTTAAATTTAGTGTTTTTAACCTTAATATGAGGATTTTTACACTTAAAATAAGATAATTAGTTAATATGCACTTGAAATAAGACAATGCAATTTTTTTCTTATTTTAAATGTAAATTGTTTCCCTTTCCTCCTCAATTCAAGAAGAAATGCACTTATGTTAAGAAAAATTTACTTATTTAGAATTCCGTTTTTTGCAGTGTGATTATTAATGTCTTGTGGGCAACTTCCATATTTAGTATGAGCTGGAAAATACTTATTTATATATAGGCAGCGCCTGCAGCATGTAGAACATCATAACCGGACCAGTTACCTTCCACACCAGTCTAAGCAAAGCCAACAGAGAACCGTTTATCAATCAATACTGACTTCAAAAATAACATGTTTAAAATCCACATTCTGCCAACAAGCAAGTCATGAAAACCGAGTTCAAACTTCTAGCAGCGTTGAAGCGACCCGCCTGTCGGCTTCTACCTGCGGATACATGTTCTGTTTGAACACTGCAGGCACGAGCAGGGCTACATGATGCTGCTTTCTGTTTTTACGCCCTGTGCATGGGGGTGGAGTGCGCGCATTGGAGGAAGCGACAGTTCATTTTTTATAAGGGTGGTGGTGCTAGGGGGGGGTATTGGTCTGAGGGGGGCGGGGTAGTTGGCAGAGTCACCCCTTTGCTTTGTATCCTGCACTGAAAACATGAAGAATGGCTCCTGGGTTCGGTGTGATTAAACATGGAAACGAGGATGTTCTGAAAGAAAAGAAAAAAAAACGTCTCAGAGAGGAGAAGAAAAGAAAGTAAAAGCAGGGAAAGATTCAAACCGATATATCCTCTGAGCGACGCATGGTAGGGATGACGTCACACTGGAAGAGTAAGTGAAAGGGAGAAAAAAAACAGAAGATGTAAAGTTTGATAGGAATATGGAAGGCGAACAGCTGGAATGTGTAGCTCTAGTGTTCTTGGTTCTGACACGTCTGTGCGTTCTTCTCCTGCACAGATTCACAAGACCCCCCCCCCCCCAATCCAACATAAAAGAAAAGAAAACATTGTTAACGGATCAAATCAGTGGGAGTCCAGCTGTATGCAATGACTGGTCTTTCTTTCTTCTCAAGAAGTGAGTTCGTATTCCTGTCCAAAGTGTTTATTCCCGGAGCTTCTGATGGGTCACTCCTTCAGTTTTCAGTCTAGAAGCCGAGAAAACAAAGCTAACTATAGAGAGGTACTATAGAGGTCCGGAGGAGCGGCTCTGAGAAACGGGCATAGTCTGAGAACCTGAGGTGCTGTTGGTCCCGGAGCGGACTTTTGTGTTGGGCAGCTTGTGGTCCTTCTTCCATTTCATCCTCCGGTTCTGGAACCAGATCTTAATCTGACGCTCTGACAGGCACAACGTGTGCGCAATCTCTACCCTGCGCCTCCTGGTCAGGTAGCGGTTGTAGTGGAACTCCTTCTCCAGCTCCAGAACCTGCTGGCGCGTATAAGCTGTCCGGGAGCGCTTCGGCTCTCCACCCGAGTAATTGGAATTGACTGTGGAAGAACAAAGGAATGGGGCATTAAAAAAGCCAAACATCAGCCAGTAAATACAACAGAGCCGCCATAAGGCCTGGCGACATGTTTACTGGGTCTGAATTTCACACTAAACCTCAAGGAAACACTAGAAAGAGCTCATAAACTAACAGACCACAGTCATTTATAAGTTGTTGAAAAATTTGGAGCAATGTTTCTGTGGACTACTGTGTTATTTTTGATGAATAAACAACAAGCATAAGCCGCTGATTCACAGACAGCTTCCAAACAATGATCATCGTGTCTAGCAGCGCGCACAGACTCAGACCTTTTGTGTTTTGTTGGGCTATCCGGTTGCCCAGATGTTGCCAGATGACACGCAAGGCCCGCCGACAGCAACACTACCCAACTGGATGTTATGAGGAAACAGCTATGATCAAACCTCAAACAGAAAACGTTTGGAAATAAGACGCTTTTTTCCAGCAAACACCAATTTAGACCTTGAACATATACCGTTCGCCGCCGTTTTCGGTTATTTCTTGTGCAAACTGCACCGATGAGAGCAGGAATGCCGCCATTCTCTGTGTGTTCTTACTAATGGGAAACAAAGGCGGTGATTTTTGGTGGAGGTGGGGAGATGAGCGGTTCAGCAGCAGCAGGGGTGATGCTACTGGATGGCTGAGAAAGTAATTATTCAATAAATCTGGGGAAAATAAATAAATCCCAGACTGGACGCAGCGGTGAAGTGAAACAACAAAACAAACAAGCCAAATAATAAATGTCGGTGTTTCTAAATCCATTTTATGGAGGAAAAACATTCCTATGACTTTGCAGATCTGATATTTTACTGTTGAGCGATGAGCGCTCAGATTACAGAGCAATAGACTGCAAAGCCAGTTTAAACATGCCGGGAGAAGCCGCTGTTCACTTTCACATTAGTGTTTTACGGCCGGCTCTATAAACATGAATATTTCATCTGCCATAAAACTTTCCTTTCCCCGGAAGAGCGAGAGAGACGTGAGGCTGGAGTCCTCCGTTTATACAGCCGCACCACTTAAAGTCGAATTACCAGCGTATAAAAGCTAACTTATGGGCTCGCACTGAGTTGTCATAAGGCAGAGCAGCCTGAGATCAGACTTCCAAAGACACCACAGCTGAGAGGTGTAATAAAAATTTATGAAGGGTGTAATTATATTGACCCTGCAAACAGACGACCGTAAATCTAAACCCTGCAGCGACTCCTCTGCTGCTAACGGAGCGGAGGGCGCAGAGGTTTGGACACCGAGCTGTCTGCACGGCCAGCTCTACGCTGCAGACCGAGGGGGGGGGGGGGAGAGGCGAGGGGGGTAAAGTTTCCATGCGGCTCTTACCGATGTTTACATGCACTTTCTTCATCCACGGATAAACCACCGGGTCCTTTCGACCGCCGACGGGGGACGCAGCGCTTTGGCCGCAGGGTGGAGGTGGGCTCGGCGTGACCGAGTCACAGCGGTGACTCTGCTCCGACAGGGGGGTGGTGTGGAGCCCGGTGGGCAGAGCGGTGCGCCCCTGAGGGGACGTCACTACCGAAGGTTGCGGTGAGCGCTGACACGGCGTGTACGGCGGCTCGACCCGTGGCTGGTGACGATGATCCGGGTGGTGCTCGCTGTGGTAGATGGAGTCCGGCCGGAACGCTGCGGGCTCCTGCCTCTGTGAGCTGTAATAGTCCGGGGAGTGACTGGGCAGATAGTCGCTCTGTGAGTACTCCTCGCAGGGTGGGAACTTCGGATCAACATAGTTGGAGTTGATCAAGTAGGAGCTCATGGCCATTAATTTCAGTCTTTTTCTGAAATTGCGCCGACTGGAAAAGATATATAACTAAAATTTATATGTCATCCCTTTAGTCTTCGGTTATTCCTGTTCACTTGAACCCTCCTACTTTTCTGTCAAGTGAACAAAGTTAGGATTCCACGTGACCACAGCCAGCCAATGGGAAGCCTTCGGTCGGACCCCCGGATAAGGAAATGGAATTAAACATATACAGCGCTCCCGCACGCGCATGGTCACATGACCTGAGTTTTTGATTAGACCCTCTCCCTCCATCCTCTCTCTGATGGCTGGCGGTCTCATATCAACACACTCGCAGCCTGAACTGATGCAAAGAATGATAAAAAAAATAAAAATAAAAAAATTAAACGAGTTTGATGAAACACTCTAAATAAAATTCAAGAAAAATACAAGTAGCTGGAAGAGGTTCTCTGGGGAGTTCACGGCGCCTGCGCCTTTCTCTGTGTGCATACAGGCTGTTTGCCAACTTTCTTTCCCCTAATTCTTCTCCTCCGCTAATACCGGGGAGTGGGAGAGAGGCCCGGCCTGCTCCTCCTGCACCGCCACCCAGTAGCAGTGTCAGAGATTAATCTGGCTTGTTTAGGATCGATAGAAAATTCATCAAGTAATTCAGGTTCCGCGGCCTCCTAAATCACCAGAAAATCTTTGCATGAGGAGCGAGAGTTCAGCACCGGTGTCCTTCTTTAAAAAAAACCCAATGCGGCTCCAACAGGCACTCAGCCAATAATCAGCTCCACCTCAGTTACTGATTCAGCCGGGGTCGCCTTTGACTTTGCATGAAAAATACTGGATGAAGCTCCTTTTTATTCTCCATAAGTCGATAAAACCAGCAGAGAAACAAAACCTTTTTTTTTTCATCTCACACAGACCTTCAAAAGTTTATCTTTTTCCTTCAGATGTACATCTGCACATCATCTGGAAACCAGAGACATTCAAAATAAATGCAAAGTCAAGCATAGTTTATTTTAAGTGACAAATACTATTAATATAAATTATGCATCATGTTTTTAATTTAAAGCCTTTGCTGAAATAAAAACATTAACAGGAACCCGAATAAATATCCGAATCAATTAAATACAGAAAGCAAAGAGAAAACAATCCCTACTTTTTAAAATAAATATTTCCCCTCTGTGAAGTATTAAAAATCAGAATCAGCAGGTTTTTCATCACGGTAAGGACAGATCATTTGGGGAAATATAGAATTAAATTAACAAAGCAAATATATGCAGCCCTAAAATCGATTTTTTTGTATTTTCAAATTTAATCTACAGCAAAATCTGCATGAAATATGCTTTTTTTAAATCAGAAAATGTCAAACAGGAAGCAGCAACCTGTTGTGACGTCTAGCTTTGCAGGAGCTGCGGTGAATCCGTCGCTGCCGTCGTGTTTAAATCCACTATATACTCCCCTAGAAGCGAATTTGTGATGCTTTCAGTCATTCTGACACAAATCCGGATCTACAGGGTAGATATAGAAGACATGGGCTCATGTGTTGTTTTCATAAATCCAGATTTTCCTTCATCACAGATGTCCTTGACCCCTGACCTCATGAGCGCGTGGATTAAATATGAACGCAAACTTCCTGCGGCCTCAGGGCGCGGATTAAAAAGCCGAGGATAAAGCGAGCAGCTGGAATTGAACATGCTCCTCTTGTTTCTTTGTTGAACTGAATAAAGTCTATGGCTGGGGGGGAGGATGTGGGGAGGGGGGGTCGCAGGTTGAACCGAAATCTCCAGAATAACTTCCACATTTCCAAGATTATTTATAAACGTTTACCAAAAACACATGAAATAAATAAACAAGCCTTCAAGCTATTTATAAAAATTATAAATAATTTCGTCGGAATATAAATCCAATGAAATCTTCATTCTAACAAAAGGAAATAGAAAAAAAATAAATATCAATTTTTGCAATTTTTTATATTTAATTTCAACTCAGTTAAGCAAAAAAAACATTGTAAACAACGTAAAAGGTTAATGTAATAGTTAATAAATGTTAATGTTATGATAATACTTTAATAAAAAATATTATTATTATTACTATTATTATTATGCTGAGAGTAAAGGCCTGCAGTCTATCTCACGGGTATTTTTTTGGTTTGTTTTTTATTACCAATTAAAGTTGCTTTAGAAGTTATTTCCTAATGCATGGGGTTCACCTTTTTCATAAATAACAACAGAATTTGATCACAGATGTAAACATTGAGCAGCCTGTCTTAGGCAGAGTTTTATAAAAGAAAGAGACAAATAACTTGGCACAAAGAGACGCTGTCCTCTCCAAATGTCCTGAAAGATCGGTCCGGAGGATGGATGGAGAAGAGAATAAATGGATAAATACCCCTTCGGCGCAGTAAATGAATTGCTGTCTTAAAAAATTGTGATGTAACTGAATTAAAAAGTGATCTGAGAAGCCTACTTTAAAAAAAGGCCTGCAATGCAGAGCAGCTTTCTTTCTTTCTTTCTTTCTTTCTTTCTTTCTTTCTTTCTTTCTTTCTTTCTTTCTTTCTTTCTTTCTTTCTTTCTTTCTTTCTTTCTTTCTTTCTTTCTTTCTTTCTTTCTTTCTTTCTTTCTTTCTTTCTTTCTTTCTTTCTTTCTTTCTTTCTTTTTTATTCCATAAAACCACACTATAACTATTATTTAATTCAAACCAAATGCAGCAGATATTAATCAGTACTGAGAGCAAAGCTAAGGTTTTCAAGTGACTCCATTCTTTGTATTCTGCCCGATTAATTATAAATAACATAACTTCCTTATAAAAGTTCTCCACGTGTCAACAGCACGGAAATAGCGGGACTTAGTTTACTCTATTTTATTCCTTTCTATTGCAGGTGCTCACTGAGCACCTGCAATAGAGTAATGCAATTCAGTAATTCTGTCACCTTGACCTTCCGCTCAGCGGCGGGTCATCTCAGGTATCGATCAAGGTGTGTTGAGTCTAAACGCAGCACTCCTTCTTTCTTTGTCAAGTTTGTCAGCAGAAAGCTTTCAGTCTAATGGCAGCCCCATTGTTTCCCTTCTATTTGAGCAGGTCAACACACTCAGCTAAGTGTTGCTAAATTTAAGAGAAAAAAAAAAAGAAATAAAACCAAAGCTCACTAACACCATTTAGAAAATAAACAAAAAATATATGTTTTAATATATAACATATGTGGTTTGTGTATGGAAAAAAATTATTATTATTATATTATATTTATTATTATATTTATATATATATATATATATATATATATATATATATGACGATATGTCGTCATATATATTATATTAATTATATTAATTAATTATATTAATTAATAAAAAATTATATTAATTATATTTATATATATATATATATATATATATATATATATATATATATATATATATATATATATATATATATATATATATATATATATATATATATATATATATATATATATATATATATATATATATGACGATATGTCGTCTTTCTTTGTCATATTATATTTATAAATATTATATATATTTTTTTCGTTATATGTGTTTTTTTCTGTTAATTAAGGTGATATAGATATACGGTTAAATTGCACTAAACGTAATATTGGAAATTGAATTGAAACATGATTCCTCATAAAAGCCGCTATTAGCTTGATGTATTGGAGGTTGTCGAGTTTCATTATGAGGTTTTAGGAAAGTAAACAAAAAAGCAAAAAAAAGTCCTGGTTTAAATATAATTGTGCAATTTCATGAGAATTATTTACTTTTTTAGGAAATTAAAGATTTAACAAACTGAAAAGAAGGAAATATATATATTTATATACCGTCTACTTATTAAAATTAATTTCAACAAATTAAGATTCGTGTTAATAAAAACAGACGCTTTTCTCTGTCCATGATGGGTTAGTTTTTTTGGAAACAAAATGAAAGTGAGCATATTGAGGCGTTCAATGGCCTTTTATCCGAAGCCTGCGCACTTGTCAAAGTTTTTGAAATATTACGAATGTGAAAAGCTGCAGGAACAATGAAGAAGAGGAGAAAATGTTGCTTTATTCCATTGTTCAGTTTGAAAAATAATTGAAGCTTTGCTCTCTGGTTATTGTTAGGTGAAATAATGGACAGGCAGAAAAATGAAGCAACACAGCGGCTTGCCTGCTCTAAACTCCCCATTCAGCACGCGGGCCGCGCCACATCATCACAACCACACAGCAGAGCAATACTCCACAATCTCTCTCACACAAACCGACCTTCAAGGCAAATATCGTAGCCGGCGGACATATTGAAAACAGCCGGATACGTAGAAAACAGTGAGTGGCGGGACTGCATGATAGGAATAAAAATGTCTATGGAAAAACATCAGCAAATCAGCAACAGACCCTCATATTGTCTGTATTTAGATTCTATCTATCTATCTATCTATCTATCTATCTATCTATCTATCTATCTATCTATCTATCTATCTATCTATCTATCTATCTATCTATCTATCTATCTATCTATCTATCTATCTATCTATCTATCTATCTATCTATCTATCTATCTATCTATCTATCTATCTATCTATCTATCTATCTATCTATCTATCTATCTATCTATCTATCTATCTATCTATCTATCTATCTATCTATCTGTCTATCTATCTATCTGTCTGTCTGTCTGTCTGTCTGGTAAGTGACTCCTGATCAATCAGAAAATGAATCAATAAAACGGAATCGCTCTGAAAACAGATCGAGGATGAAGGGAGGTGGATTCTACAGCAATTCTTACACGTGATCTTCCCCTTCCTCTCAGCACGAGGAGAGCACCTGCCACACACACACACACACACACACACACACACACACACACACACACACACACACACACACACACACACACACACACACACACACACACACACACACACACGTAGCAAAATGCAAACGAAGCTCCTTCTTCCATGCATTCCATATGTTGCCCCTTGCAGGCTGCTCTCCCTCCAGTGAAGCTCACCTGCTGCTTCCCTCCGCCGCCATCGATCTGATCTGATCCATCTTCCTGCTTCCATCACATCCAGTTTCTTCTCCTTTGTTTTCTTTTTGCATCTTCAACAGAAATCCGGACGATCGTTTACAATTGAAGCAGAAGAGCGAATCTTCTTCCTTAGTTTGACGCCGTCCTGTTTCCCATGCACAGCGTTCTCCGTTTGACCCTTTTTTTTTTTTTTTTTTTAGATTTATTCATGTTTTATACCTGCTTAAAATGAATCGAAAGTAATAACCACCACGAAGCGGTCAGCTCCGAAGTCCAGCTCTCTCCTCTGCTCTCTTGGAAAAGGAAAAGCTGACTCCTCGGCATCACGCTGCTCCTCTGACTGCGATTCTTATCAGAT